CTTCCCTCTTTCCACTCTCACACCGGTGGCGGCGGCGAGCGGCAGTGCGACGGATTGCAAGGCGATCCTAGGCGTCGAGCACCGGATTCACGAGCACACCGACAGGACATCAGCAATGGCAGCAAGCCCTTACCCTCTCTCTCGATTTACTACATTTGATTCACGGTTTAGATCGAATTTTTGGACCCGATTCGAGCATTCTGGAGGGGATTGATTACAAAGGGGTTGGGGAATTGGATTTGCGCACTCGATTCATCACATAACCAAAGGATTTTAGGGTTTATACGGTGATTTTTTTAGTACAAGAGGTTGGGGAACTGGGTTAAATCTAACTTACAAGCACCTATTCTATACCTGGCAACCTTGGAGGCGCTTCAAGCAGCGGGGGCCATAGCCTTCTTTTTGTCTTCCACCACCGCCTCCACCGCACCATCCACAATCTTCTCCTCATTGTCTTCATCCAGAACGACGGGTCTGCACAGTCACCTGCCGCTGGCGCCTTGACCACCATCTGCACCACCTCGTTGTCGTCCTCTAGCGCCACCAACGTCTTCGTCCAAAACGATGCGACAAACTAGCCTTGAGGAGCCTTGTTGATGTAGGGTGGAACCCTAGGGGCCGACTTTCATGATTTGGAGGGGGGAATTCCTGAAGAACACGACAAACACACGAGGGAGAACACGAGGGGAAACGAGAGGAAACACTTAAATCAACGAGAAACGATCACACATGTGCTAGATCCATGAACACAAAGAGAGATACATGATTCAAATACAACAAAGGGGGATACGAAGGTCACAAGTTCATCTCCTAGAAGGAGGTCTTGAATCCACTAGAGGATCTTCTCCATGAAGAGGTCTTGAATCCACTTGAGGGATCTTCTCCTAGATGGAGGGCTTGGCCTCCAATGGAGTAGGTATCAAGTGGATGAGTAAAGCTCTATCTCTCATATGAGCTAAACTAATGCTAACCCTAGAAAAGTGGAGGTGAAGTCGTATATATAGTCTAGGGGGTCGAAGGGGTACATGGGCCTCAGCCCTAGTCATTGTGCGCAGACAGGCGTCGGGCGTCTGGTGGGTCTCGGACATCCGAAAGCTCGCGAAGGTCCGGACGTCCGGTGGCCAGTCGTTCGGTGGGCTCGTACTTCCTCTAATTTCCTTCTGTTGGGTGGCACCGGTCGTCCGGAGGGGCTCGGTCGTCTGGGCACTGGGAGGTGTCGGACGTCCGGTCCTTGTCGGTCGTTTAGCCGCTCTAGTAGTCGCTGGCTGGCTCTTCGGGCTGGTGGAGACTCCAAGCCTCGGACGTCCGGTCTAGGCCGGTCGTCCGGTGGCTGTAGGTTTCTGGTAGCTTTGTCTCTTGGTCCTTGTACTTGGCGTCCTCGCTAGCTCGTCCGTTGGATGTAGTGGTTCCGTGGCTCACCTCTAAGTACCTGATAACATATAGGGTTTCTGCTTGAGGTAGTAGCCATGTCTCACATGTAGAAAGTGGTAGTTCGGAGAGGAGCAAGTTCACCTTAATTTCAATAGCCCTTGCTCAAGCTCTAGTCATTGGTCCATGTGGTGTCGTGGGAGACGAAGGTAGGTCCATGGGGGATGACCGTAGGAAGCTCCGCATCATCTCCCCCCCCTTGGGAAAGATCCAACCTCGGATCGAAAACCTCATCACCATGGTAGGGAGACAGATCCTTAATGTTGAATATGTCGCTCACGGAGTACTTGTCATGTGGGATGTCGATCTTGTAGGTGTTGTCATTGTAGCGTTCGAGCACCTTGAAGGGTCCATCGGCTCGTGGTAGAAGCTTGGACTTGCGTTTGTTGGGGAAGCGTTCCTTGCGAAGGTGTAGCCACACAAGATCTCCGGTGTTGAATATCATAGGGTGCTTGTTGATGTTGATCTTGGTCGCGAGGCATTGTACTTAGTGCTCAATGGTGTGCCTTGTATCTTCATGCAACTTCTTGAGATAGTTCGCTCTAGCGCTCGCGTCCATGTTGATGCGCTCTTGTAGTGGTAGCGGTAGAATGTCCAATGGGGACAATGGGTTGAAGCCATAGACAACCTCGAAGGGGGACTTGCCGGTAGTCGAATGTCTTGTGCGGTTGTAGGCGTATTTGGCGATGGGTAGACACTCCTCCCACTCCTTGATGTTCTTCTTAATCAACACGTGTAGGAGAGTAGATAGCACCCGGTTCGTGACCTTTGTTTGGCCATCGGTTTGTGGATGGTATGCCGAAGAGAACAAGAGCTTGATTACGAGTTTGGCGCATAGTGTCTTCCAAAAGTAGCTTAGGAACTTGACGTTGCGGTCCGAGACAATCGTCTTTGGCACTCCATGTAGACACAAGATTTCCCTACAAAAGAGATTGGCAACATGTGAAGCATCGTGTATCTTGTTGTATGGAATACCGAAAAAGGCTTTCGCCCCGCTTTATATATAAAGCAACCACCACACATTACAGCGAGCAACAAGAAAGGAAAAGAAAAGAAAAAGGAAATCGACAAGATACAAACACTACGGAACAGTGAATGCCGGCCTTATATCATGCCAACAACGCGAACGCGATAAGGGAGCAATTCATCACCGGAGGAAAGCCACGCTCCATGAACTCCCAAGGGCCCCTGTTGTCCCGCCTTCCGCCGCTCCCTCCGAAGAGGACACCCCTGCCCTCTCGTCCTGGATCGAAGGACGCCATCCCTGTCAGGAGGCAGAATCGCTCACCCTTGAGCCCGAATGGACTGGCCAACAAGAAACCAGGGAGAGGACGACAGCCCTGGCCACCTCACCTCTCACAGGAACCCATACGTCGGCACCTTCTCTGGCCAAGACCAAGAAGCCCACACCACTGCCGAGAAGGAACACCACCGAAGAATAGACAAAGCACCATCGCGCCGAGCCCCTAACCCCCTGGATTCATGAAGTAACCGACGCCGAAGCGCCGTAACCACCCAATCAAGAGATTTTAGGCTTTCTCCTAGGACCAAGGGGCGGAGGGCGGGGAGGAGGTCTCGATGTCGCCCACCAGAGGGAGAAACGACGCTGAGAGCATTGCCAACATCATGACCGGCACCGACGGTCAAGGGTTTCCCCCGACCCGAGCCCGAACCTCCACTGCAGCACCAATCATCCAAGCAAGATGCCCGAGGGAAGCCCACGACTGGAAGGCAGAGGGGAACATGCGTCGGTGCAGCCACCATCTCCAGATCGGAACCACACCCACCGCCGTCTTGCCATCTAGCACGGCCAAGACAGCGCACCACATCGCCGATGCTACCCCCCGTCGAGGAAGGGGAGGCGCCCTTGTGACGCCCCCGATACAATTGTACACTAATCATGCACGCAAACGTGTACGATAAAGATCAGGGACTCACGGGAAGATATCACAACACAACTCTAAAAACATAAATAAGTCATACAAGCATCATAATACAAGCCAGGGGCCTCGAGGGCTCGAATACAAGTGCTCGATCATAGATGAGTCAGCGGAAGCAACAATATCTGAGTATAGACATAAGTAAACAAGTCTGCCTTAAGAAGGCTAGCACAAACTGGGATACAGATCGAAAGAGGCGCAAGCCTCCTACCTGGGATCCTCCTAACTACTCCTGGTCGTCGTCAGCCGCCTGCACGTAGTAGTAGGCACCTCCAGTGTAGTAGTCGTCGTCGACGGTGGCGTCTGGCTCCTGGGCTCCAACGTCTGGTTGCGGCATCCGAGAAGAAGAGGAAAACGGGGGGAAAGAGGGAGCAAAGCAACCGTGAGTACTCATCCGAAGTACTCGCAAGCAAGGAGCTACACTACATATGCATGGGTATATGTGTAAGGAGGCCATATCAGTGGACTGAACTGCAGAATGCCAGAATAAGAGGGGGATAGCTAGTCCTATCAAAGACTACGCTTCTGGCAGCCTCCGTCTTGCAGCATGTAGAAGAGAGTAGATTGAAGTCCTCCAAGTAGCAACGCATAGCATAATCCTACCCGACGATCCTCTCCTCGTCGCCCTGTTAGAGAGCGATCACCGGGTTGTATCTGGCACTTGGAAGGGTGTGTTTTATTAAGTATCTGGTTCTAGTTGTCATAAGGTCAAGGTACAACTCCAAGTCGTCCTGTTACCGAAGATCACGGCTATTCGAATAGATTAACTTCCCTGCAGGGGTGCACCACATAACCCAACACGCTCGATCCCATTTGGCCGGACACACTTTCCTGGGTCATGTCGGCCTCGGAAGATCAACACGTCGCAGCCCCACCTAGGCACAACAGAGAGGTCAGCCCGCCGGTCTAAATCCTATGCGCGCAGGGGTCTGGGCCGATCGCCCATTGCACACCTGCACGTTGCGAGGGCGGCCGGAAGCAGACCTAGCAACCTCCATTACAAAGGAAGTCACGTTACGCGGTCCAATCCGGCGCGCGCCGCTCCGTCGCTGACGTCAAGAGGGCTTCGGCTGATACCACGACGTCGAGTGCCCATAACTGTTCCCGCGTAGTTGGTTAGTGCGTATAGGCCAGTAGCCAGACTCAGATCAAATACCAAGATCTTGTTAAGCGTGTTATTATGAAGCAACCGCGAA